AAGGCTTCTACATCTAGAAAGCCTTCTAGAATTTTTTCAAGCCACATAAGATTAATTGTGACATGTGGCAACAAAATAGAGAAAGGGAAAGACCATTGGAGATGCTCTAATTAATATTCAAGATTAGTAACACATTTTTCTACATCATCTATTAAAAAATTTGTCTCGTGGATCTATATAATTTGTTTATGGCTATGTTTGGTAAATGGCTTTTTGAATAGCTTTTAGCTGTTTGAATCAATATCAGATGTTTGACCGTCTCAAACCGCTAAATTTGTTGTTTGGTAAAACAGCTTTTTTAAATAGCTGTTTGAATGAAACAGCTAAAATAAAAAACGCTGCAATGAGCAGCGTTTGAGGTCAGCGGTTGGGCATGGGAAGAAGAAAGGCCCATTTGATGGGTATTGTTGCTGGATTGTTGTTCTTCTCATTTTCTATTTATTAATTAATATTTCAACCTGTATTATTAAATACACCGTATTAATGAGGAGTTGTTGTGCTAGTTGTTGTGCTTCTCACTTTTTATTTATCTCCTCTTGAAATTTCCTAAACAAAATATGAATAAATATATAGGGATGTATACCAAAAAATTTTATTTGAGATATTAAAATTATTGTTATTGTGACATAAAGAAAAAATTAAATTGTATGAATGTTCTTATAATTTAATTTTAAATGTAATTAGTAAACATCAAACTGTTAATTTACCAAACATTCAGTTGATTACAAACAACTGATTTTACCAAACACTATTTTATAATCCGCTAATAGAATCCGCTGGTCAAAACAGCTGATACAATCCGCTGGTCAAAACGGTTGATACAATCCGCTAACCGCTAATTGCCAAACAAGACCTATATCTCCATATTATTTAACACATTAATGAAAGTATAATAATTTATTTTAAGTTTCACCTTTTCTTGTGATGATGAAATTGATGAATATCATAAATGTACAATTTCTATATATCTCAAAAAATGTACAATTTCTATATATCTCAAAAAATCATGATGGATTTTGGAACTTAAATTATTCTTCCCATTCCCATGATGTGTAGATTGAAATACAATGACCTGTGGTGATTATTGTGTCCCTTGAAAACAACTTAAGGTGGGATTTCTTTTTTTTTTTT